ATTGGGATGGGTGTGTCAGAGGCAATGCGATTGGCACAGGATAGAGCAGGGTTTAGGGCTGTTGTACATAGGGTCGCTATGCGTCGCAAGTGACTCAACGGCACTGAACAACAACATGTAATTGGAACTCTGGTGACCTACTGGGTAAGGAGCTTTGCTGCCAAGGAAAAGTTAGTTGGACCAAATCCACTGGTGGCTCTCCAGGAGAAAGGATGGGCAGCAATAGCCTCCCATGGCATTTACAGCCTCTGAAAGCCCACTAAAGGGTCGGCATTGGTTTGATTCAAACTCAAAGGCTTATAACAACAACATATAATAGGGGAAAATGTAAGATTTTTTAAAAATGTTATTTGTTCTTGGAATTGTTAAAATTACCATTTCTTTAAGGATAGTCGGATAAAATTGTAACCCAGAATGTGTGGCGAGGGGTCATCTCCTTTCTGTGTTGAAGAACAATGCTGCTTCACATCTAATCAATAACCTTAATGAAAAGGAGTTAGAAGGGAATATTGAATCTGCTAAGAAGGTTGACATGCATGTATCGTTACTGATGCAGAAATAATAGGGAGTGTTTTGAATGTTAAAAAGTCAAAAGATGCTGGTGAAATGTCAGGAAAAAAGATGGCTTCGGTGAAGCATTGTAAGCTTTTGGAGTAATTAATTAGCAGAAAGTCAGCCACATATCTTGCCAAGAAAAGGATGCTTTTTTCCACATTTTTGTTTTTTTAATAAGAAACAAATGACAAGTAAACAAGTCCTTATCAGAGTTTTTTTTTTTTTTTAAAAAAACCTCACAATTTCCAGAATATATCATGGGATTGATGTGGTTTCAGTTTTATTCCTGCCCTTCTTACATCTGTGGTTCTATAAAAATCATAATTGATGGTCATTTAAGCATTGCATGATCCAGAAATGACTTGAATGATCCATAAAAATGAGATTCTGTCTTCATTCGGAGAACATATATTAAGCCTTCCATGTGCTATGTCCTGTGCAGAGAATACAGAAACTATAATTAAACAGTATGCTTAAATAGCCTATTAAAATAAATGCAAGTAAATGGAAATTTTCTAGTTAGAGGTACTAGTCTTCATCAATCTCATTCCCATTTTTCCGGTTCATTCTTCAATTTTAAATGCTTATTCAAAGTTGTTTTTGAAAACTGTGTATATGTGTTTAATAGCCACAACATATGCTGTATGTGAAAAAATATTTATACACATATATGTGTATCCATATTTGTCTTTTAAAAATATTAAGATCCAGTGGAAAGCTATATCCATTTTCTTTCATGCTTATTAAAATCCTGTTTAAATTATTCTCTTCTTTATGAAATATCTATGAGGGTTGAATAAAACATGGTTATATATTATTCATTCATTTTTGGTTACTGTGGCACTAATATCATTAAGAAGAATTGATGTCACCCTTAAGGCCAGACTTTTTTTTTTTTGCTAATTATTGCAGGATTTAAAGCCATTTTATTGTTGCCAGAATCCAAAAGCAAGATCTTTATTAAAATTATATTAGTCTTAAAAGTGTTTTTCTTGTGAAAAGTAATCATCTTAGATTGTAGGTATAATAGAAAAAAGGTAAAATATTTTTTTATATGACATGGCTTAGAGTTAGAAAAGCAGATCATTAAGGTGTGTGAAGTGACATATAAATAAGTGGATAAATATTAGAGATCTAACACTTGTTAATCCGTTATTCCTTCTTCCCTAACGTTCACTCTAATAGTCTGCATCATGAACTCCACCAGCTTATTCACAGCTGTGACTTCTGCTCTTTGGTGATCTAGAGATAATGCTAGCAATATGTGCCAAAACAAACAGGAATCCGCATAGTCTAAGGACGGTGAAAGGTGCTTTTATGATAGTCCTGAGTGTGAGGACATTTCATTATGCACAATTTTAAGTGAGCCTAGCTGATGTTTTTAACTTTTAAGATACTCTTTCATACTCATGGTGGAGATAACAGACCTATTGACTAGAGGGTCTTCAGTCTTGTTTTATATCCCCTGAAAAATTATTTTTGTAATATTTATTCATGTCTTTGAAAAGATGCAGCTTCCTCTCAACAGTAGCTACTTAGCTAAAACAGTCCAAATTTAAATGAGAGATGTTGTTGGGTGCCATGCAGTCAGTTCCAATTCACAGTGATCCTGTGTACAACAGAACACAATTATGCCAGGTCCTGAGTCATCCTCACAATCTCTGCTGTACTAAAGCCCATCAAATGAGAGATGTTGTGTACTATTAAGTAAGAACTGACTCATAGCTGACCCTCCAGTGGGTTTTCACAGGCAGTAAATCACACAGAAGTTTGCCCATCTTTCTCTTGTGGAACAGCTTTTGATTTGAACTGCACAACTAAATGCTCAAATGAGAGATAGTGGTTGAAAAAGGAATTGTTTTACTTGCAAAGTCTGTTCAGTTGGAGCTGTTCGAACTATAATAATTGAAGAGGAAATAGATCACAGTTCATCTTTGGCTGTTTTTAATGAGAACTTGGAGTTAGAATCATACTAGACCTTGATTCACATTTTGGCCCAACCACTTTATTAACTTGGTGACTCTGGATAAGTTCTTTTTATATTCTGCAGCTCATTTTTCATACTCTTAATATAAAGGAGATTATAATAGAATCCATTATGTTGGACTGTTTTAAGAATTAAATGAGAGAATGTGTGCTAAATTCTTAGTATGTATCTGATACATAAGGCTATTTAGTTAATGGAAACTGCTGTTTTCATCTCTTTAGAAGAAGGTGTTCCAAATTAATTTTAACTACAATGAACAAAATTTGATGATATTGCTACATAATAAAGTACCAAAACAATTATGGTAACACTAAAAAAAACCTTTGTGATTATAGATGTGAACCAATTTCACCCTCCCCCTAGGTGCACCTTTATCTTTTTTTTTAAATAAAAAATATTCTTTATTCTATATTGGTTTGCTTACAAAGTTTCTATACATTGTGTTTCACAGTATCGTTCACTCACATTGTGTTTCATACAATCATTGCCACTCATTATGCTTTATAGAATTAATCAACACTGAACTATGCCCATCATTACCCTCTTTCCAGATCCCCTCTGGATCTTTCCCATTTCCTTTTCCCTTTAAATTAATTTCTCAGTTATCTTCTCTGACCATCGAAATAATTTTACAAATATATGTATATCTCTCATAGTAGAGTCATATGAGGCTAAAATATGGTGAAACAAAATGCATTTTACTCAGGTGATTGACAATAGTGGTAGATAATTTCTCTAAATAATCTGGTCTTTGTGAATTACATATGTTTTCATTTGTCTTTTTCTCTTCTTTTTAATAATTTTTAGATCTCTGGTGGAAGAGGAAGACCAGCACATGAAATTGTCCCTTGGAAGCAGCGAAATGGGCCTCTCATCCCATTTGCAGTCTTCCAAGGCAGGAACCACACGCACCTTTACCAGCAACACCCACAGTTCTGTGGTGTTACAGGTAATCTCACCTCTTCCTTTCATTGCATTTACATGTTTTAAGAAACCCAAACTCCCTTCTTCCATGGAGTCAAGTCAAATCGGAGAGACTGTCCATTGGGTTGCTGAGGCTGTAAATCTTTACAAGAAACTGCACATCTTTCTCCCACAAAGTGACTGGTGGATTCAAACCACTGACCTTTTGGTTAGCAGCCTAAATTAACTACACCCCCAGGGCTCCTAGAAAACTCAGCAGGAAAGAAATCTTGAGGGGGAGCTGTATGGTTACTGATTCTAAAGGGGGGGAAAATCTCCAGAGCTTTTTTATGTAGACAAAATACAGAGTATTTTGTCTACATAAAAGAGGTCTTACAGTTATATACCAATTTCTTAAAGTTTACCCAATCTGGCAACATTGACTTTCTGTTACGTAGCTGCCAGTGTAAATATCACAAGGTTCCTACACTAAAGTTTGTATTCCTTGCTTGCAATCTCTTTTACTATTGCTGTTAGCGTAGTTGTAAAGATCATATTTATCTGATATTTCACCCCATATTGTCAGTAGTACGTGTGGGAGAAAGGATGAGGGCTGCTGAATGCAAACACACGGTTAGGTGAAAGAAGCAGTGACAGAACAACTGTTGAAAGTCAAAAGAACTAAAAAAAAAGGCACAACAAGCAGAGCTGTTTAGTGTAAGGGTAAGGAGCCCTGGTGATACAACAGATACTTGGTGACTAACCCATTGGCAGTTTGAACCAACCCAGAAAGACCCGATCGTTTGCTTCCGTAAAAATTACAGCCAAGAAAACCCTACGAAAGAGTTAAGACTCTGTCACCAGGTTGTTGTTGTTGATTGCCTTCAAGTTGAGCATAACATGACACATAGCGACCCTATGAACAAAAGGCCTGAAGCCCCTCTACACCTATCGACATTTATCAAAGTTCATAGACTTTTCAGAGGCATGTTGTTTAGGAAGTGGATGCTAAGTGAGTTTGAATCCAAATCAACACAGTGGCACACAACAAAAATCAACAGCTTAGGGATAAGCAACCCATGTACTTCTCACCTCTGTAGACATTATCTGACCTCTGTGGACATTACTGAATGACACAATATTATATTGGATGTCCAGGAATAGTTTATTATATTAGTGATATTTGGAAAATATGTTTGATTTTCGCCCCCCCCCCCGCCCCAAGCAGGTACCTTTTAAAAGAAACCTCCTCAAATGAATTTCATGTATACCCTTAGTAGAGAGCCTTTATAGTTAACAGGCCTTTGACAAAGTCAGTGGTGCTTCAATAGATTGAAAATGAGGCAATGATCTTTCAAGGCCAAAACCTCTATTATGTTCATGTAGAAGGAACTCTTTCACAGCATGACTTGACAATCTTACATTCATGGATGTTAAAAATACTCTCACCAGGAAATGCAAAGAGTTATTGCTAATGGCTTCCTCCAGAGTTGATCTAAGACCCTCCTTTGGGCCCAGTCCTCTCTCTGTTAGGTTCTATGAGAAGAGGCTTAGACTTACCATGTGGCTTTTGATTATCATAAGATTTACTTAAATCCAATCTTTATTATTTCCAAAATAATACCTTTGACCAGAAGATCCCTTAATTTACTACTAGGTTTGTCCTTCTATGACTCAGTGAAATATCTTCCACCTTTCATAGTATCTAGTGGGAGCTAGAATCTAAGGATGGCTGCCCAGTGTCCTGTGTGGATCATCAGAACAGAAATGTAGGCATCAGAAAGGAAAAGCTTTCTCTCTCCTTTGGAAGTTATTAGTTACTATCAAATTGCTGAGTCATACTTAACTTGTGAAAGCAAGAAAACACTGCATGGTTCAAAATGAGAAAAGGAGTGCATCAGGAATATGTCCTGTCTCCATACTTTTTAAATCTATATGCAGAACGGATTTCTTAGGCTGGGCTCTATGAGGAGGAATGTGGCATCAGGATTGGTGGAAGACTCATCAACAACCTGTATTACGCAGATGATACAACCTTGCTTGCCGAAACTGAGGAAGACCTGAAATACTTGCTGCAGAAGGTCAAGGACTGTAGTCTTCAATATGGATTGAAGTTCAACATCAAGAAGACAAAGACTCCAACCACTGGGCCAGTTGACAGCACCATGACAGATGGAGGAAAGAGATGGAGGATGTTAACAATTACAGCTTGCTCAGCTCCACGATCAACATTCTTGGCACCAGCAGTCAGGAAATAAAAAAAACAATTTGCATAGGGAATCTGCTGTCAGGGACCACTCCAGGGTACTGAGAAGCAACAATGTTAGTTTAGAAACTCAGGTGTGCCTGATCCAGGTCATGGTCTTTGCTAATACTTGCTATGCATTAGAGCTGAAAAATGACCAAGGATAACAGAAGAAGAATTGATGCCTTTGAGTTGTGGTGCAGAAGAAGAGTCTTGGACATACCATGGACTGCCAAGAAAACAAATAGGTCTGTCTTGGAGAGGGTGAAACCAAGTTTCTCCTTGGAGGCTAGGATTTTGAAGCTCTGTCTCACATGCTTTGGGCATGCGGCCAGGAGGGACCAGTCCTTGGAGAAGGACATCATGCTCAGAAGAGTGGAGGGACAGTGCAGGAGAGGAAGACCCCGAATGAGATGGATTGATATAGTAACTGGGGCAATAAGAGTAGGTATGTTGGTATCAGTGAGACTGGCTCAGGACAGGGCTAACTTCAGATGCACTGTACATAGGGTCACTATGAGTCGCAGGTCACTCAATGGCACATAACAACTCAACTCAATAGTACCTAACTACAACATCATGGCATTGGATGGGTTGATCTGTTTCATAAGGTTTTCTTTTTTAAAAATGATATTTCATTGTGTTTTGGGTGAAGGTTTACATAGAAGTATAAGTTTGATTGAACAATTTTTATACAAATTGTTCATTGAATTGGTTATTTTCTTTACAGTATCGTAATATTCTAATTCTATTCCAGAATAGAAACTTAATCTAGTTTCCCTGCCCTTTTACAGTCTCATTTTTGCTTTAAAGTATTTGTTAAATGTTTGGTCTAATACAGATGTTTTGTGTGTTGTTTTGTTTTTGTTTTTAAAAAGCACAATACTTACAGGTAGTACTTTGTAAACCAATCTGTTATTTAGTTCCAAGGTGACCCCAGGAGTTAGTTTCCATTCAGAGTTTAAATAATACTTCAGGGCAGTAGTCTCAGGGAGTCCTCTAATCTTACCGAGTCAAATCAGTCTTGTTTTAGTTTTGTCTTTTTTTTAAAAAAAAAATTATTTTATACTGGTTTACTTGCAAAGATTGTATACATTATTTTTCACATCGGATCTTTCCCATTTCCTTAACCCTCCCCTCCCTTCACTCTTCAAATTGTGTGACCCTATGATTACACTCGACGTTGCCCATCCCCACCCCTCTGCTTCCTCTCTCCCCCACTTGGGTCCTCATACACGTTTTACTAGTTATCTGTTTCTAATGATCTTATACAGTATTTGTCCTTATGAGACTGAGTGAGTTCACTCAGCATAATACTCTCCAGTCCCTCCCAAGTTAGATAGTGATTTACAAAATCATTGCTCCTGTGTGCTGCGTAGTATTCCGCTATGTTAATGTACCGTAATTTCTCAATCCATTTAGATTGTGGTTGAACATTTGGGATCTTTCCATGTTCTTGCGATGGTGATTAATGGTGCTAACTTCCACATTTTTCTTTCATTCTGTTAGGGACCATCTGTGGCCTTGATTAGGATGGTCAGTAGTGGCAGCCAGATCCCATTTGGTTCCTCTGTTCTCAGAGCAGATGAAGTTCATGTTACATAGGGCTTTCAAATCCTAACTCACAGAAGATCATCAAGCTTTTCTTCCATGATGTTTCTATGTGGGTTCGAATCTCAGCTTTTCAGCTCGTAGTCAAATGCTTAACTGCACCACCCAGGGGCTCCCTTGGCATCATAATACAATGTAAATGTTTTAGTTATTGGTTGTAGGTTATCAAGGAAAGAGAGTAAGGAGTCAAATAGGGGAAATATGAGAGGAAGAAATTTTTGTATATTAAAGTACTCTTTATACAAAGAACTGTAAAATAACTTCAAAATTAGAATACCCCATTTGCCCTTTCACTCTACAACTTTCTCATCCATATCAATAAAACCAAACCCACTACTGTTGAATCTGACTCTTAGTGACCCTTCACTGTGATTCTGAGGCTATAAATATTTATGAGAGGGGCTGCCCATCTTTATCCCTCAAGGTAGCTGGAGGATTTGAAGCACAGAAATTTTTGGTTAGCTGTGCAAAACATTATGCATTAAGTCACCAGTACTCCTTTTCCCTGCCAATAATCATGTGTTAAAGAGCGGTTATTATGGTATGACTATGACCCCTAGCAACAACAATTTTTTCCATTGTGATCTTAATGAAAATATACAGAAAAGTTGGATTTTCAGTCACTGCTGTGCATTAACCACCATTCCCCTCAATTCACTTTTTAAAAAAATTTCTTGCAATATATATATTTTTTTACCCTGGTTTACCTAGAAGGTTTGTATACATTGTCCCTTACACTGGATTCCCCCACTCTCCAGCTCACCCTCCTCCACCCATCAAGCTGAGCAACTCCATGCAAGAACAACAATTTTTGAAAACGAATTTAAACCCAAAAAATGAAAGCCACTTCAGTGTGGTGAGAGAGATCCAGAGATATGTAAAGTTCAAAAGTGTTACGACAATACTTGCCATAACAAACTCACGTAGACAGCTAACACCAATCACAAATAATCATTGTGTAGCTGACTGTGTTTAAAGCTTTATTTGTTCTATTTTTTTAATTTGGTCAAGGGACCTCTGGTGGCGTAGCCTTTAGGAGTTTATTGCCGCTAATTCAAACACTAAGCTTCTCAGGTGGCTTGATTACACCAGTAGCTCCAAGTGGCAAAGATAGGCAATCTCTTCCCTCATGATTTACAGCCTCAGAAAACAAATGGAGAGTCAGTTATGAGTCAGTTCCAACTTGACAG